GGTCTTTACTGCCTTTATCAGGGCAATATAATCATCTTTGCACCATTATTCACAATTATACGAACATCAGTTTAAGTGTAATGCAGGGTCAGACCCTCCTTTTATTTAACAGGAAAAATCGCTCTGATCATGCTCCTTGCGTGCAGTTTTTGTTTGGTTGCTCCAGCACTCACTGGCAGCTCAACRTTGATCTAAGATACACAACCAGTAAATCTAAGGTTTGATTATACAGAAAGACGTTCCAGAAATAGATGGCCCCAGTGCAGCCCGATTTATCCAGACTAATTTTTTTCAAACCACTGACCTCACTCCTTTTGCCCAAGAATGTTCTCATCAGTCCARGTATCATCAATACTGACATCAGCAAGTTCCTGTCCCAAAACTCCATATCCTCTTAGCTGCCACGCTCAAGGAGGCTCAGACAAACCAGAGGAGTGAGGGAAAAAGGGGCCCYGACTGTGCAGATGGCATGTGGCACATGGAAGGGTCTGTGGCAAAGCCCTGCGCTGGGGTAGTTCTTCTGAAGCAGTGAGTCACTGACCGGAGTCACCCACAGGAGAACAGTGAATCACAGCCCCTCAATCAGTGGCTGTGATTCACACATCACAGCTCCCATCAAGAACCACATGCAGACAGAAATTCACTGTCAAACAATCTCTAGATCTACAGAGTGCTGGTTTCTCCCTTAAACAAAGCAAGTCATAATTAGGACTGGGGCTGTGCCTGCCTGTCCTACTTATCCATCAGCATACGCACCTGGCCACCCCCATACAACTTGGCCAAAATGACAAACTCAGTTCTTCCATTAAGTAATGGAAGGAATTTCACTGCAATATTTAGGTAATCACTAGTGCATCATGGTGACACACCAGACTGAGAACRGGCTGGACCATGTGCGAGTCTGTTGCAAAAAAACCCAGTTTTATCAAGTAACAATAAACACACAGCTTGACTTGAATATATCAATGATACATTAAAATCCCTGGCATACATCTTGCTGTTTTGTTTGGTATAAGTCAATATAACCCACCCTTATTGTACATATTCATAGGTATGTCGTCTTCCTCTAACTCCTTCTGGAATGGGCTTCTCTGCATACCTCTGCTGTTGAAATACAGACATTAAAGTGAGGTTTGTGGAAATACGATTCAGGTCCTTGAAAACTACTGGGCAGAAGATATTGGRTGATATTTCCAGAAACATTTTACATGACACAGGGGCATATGAATTAAACCAACAAAGGGACATGACTCAGACCTTTTGTATTCTCCCAGAGGGAAATCTACGTCATTTAACAGGCCCTGCTCTGCCTGCAAAGCCATTTTCACAAGCCTTCAGTAGCTTTCATCTTTCTTGCATATTTTAAATTAGGATTTAGGTCATTCAGCTTGTGGAGGAACTGACTGTGGAACAGACTGAGGGCACCCCCAGCTCCCCAGTTCTGTAAACAAGTGATTCCCGAAAGTCCTACAAAAAYACAAACCCACTGGGCTTCGCCAAATTAGATGGATATTTTGCAGCCACCTTCCCTTGCCTGGATTATCTGTAATGCCAACAGCAATACTCTGTTTCTAATGAGATTATATTTCATCTTCTTCAAATTCACATAACTTTGCTTTTGATCTACCCTGTCAGTTGGCAGTTAACTTCTTCCAACAGAGCCCTGCCCGCTCCATGTGCCCTGTAGATCACACGGTGGCTCCGAAATGTTCGAACGCTGCTATCTGACAGTAYAGACCCCATGAAAAAGAATGGCCCACAACAAGAAAAGTAGCAACAGACTTACAAAATGTTAGTTCAAGCTTGTGAGCTGCTAAATATAGAGTTGGAGAAGTTATTAAACTCCAGAGTTTACAGGTAATGAATGGYACAGCTAAGCCTCACCTGGGATTTGCAAAAGTATCAAAGCTTTTCTTTGAGAAAAATCTGTCTCTTACCTTTTCTGTGACTGCATTTGCGAATGGCAAAAATGAAGATAGAGACCTTTTCCCATCTCAGAGGGCTGCTGTGAAGAAAAATCAACTGAAAAATGATGGCACTGTGGTAATGGATATTCTTTTGATTTTTGGCTATTTCCTTCACTGATGGGTTTATTATTGTATAGAACATACGTGACAGAATGAAAATACATATATTCATCAATATATTTCCATTACAGATGCAGATTGGCACTCTTATTTTTGGCTGTGATAAAGCACAGTGTATTTCAGAGTGGGATCATTTCTCCCTCTTTATTAATGACCTCTTATTGTGAACAAGAGTATCATTTTTCTTGCACCTTTAGGGAACAAACAATTTTCCCATTTTCTACAACACTAATACTTTTAATGGCTGTAAATTGTGCACACATAAGAAATGAAAGATCCCTATCATTTCAATCTACATGAAAAAGTTTCTGCTGTCGCACTTACCTTATTCTGACTCACAGGTTTTAAAATTATAGGAATGCTCCCACAGATCTTTTGAATTAAAAAAAGTTACTGCTTCTGGTTTAAACAATGAAGTTAGCCTCCTAAAATGGACAAATTAATGCCATACAAATCCAGCATTCAGTCTAATACTGAACTTCTTTTGATACCCTTAAGAAATCATTTCCTGAACTTCATTTTACATCACTACACAGCCCCAGCCTTCAAAGTGACAGTGGCTGCAGCCCAGAAGAGAGGCAACACATACTGACCTGGTTCCTGCAGAACTGCTCACCTGAATTTGGGACAACCAAGCAATCCAGCATTTGTTCTACACTGAAGCTAACATTTCTGGAGACAGTTTGAGCAGTATTCTCACTCCAGGTGAGAATACTACTCTGCAGACAGAGACCAGCCTCAAGTTGCCCTATTTGTACGTGATCTCTCTACTACGCTCTACTATCCACCATTAGCATGTGGACCTCTGGTAGCTGCCTGGACATGCCCCCTGCGTCCTAAAGGTGACACTGCCACTAGTCAAATCACTCCATCTGGAATAAATGCACAGACATGGGCCAGCCTAAGAATTTTCTGACATTTTCTTCTGAACATTCTTTGCTGGAAAAGAGAACATGCAGCAATAGCTGCATGAGTACTTAATAACAGTGCAGACCTATGGTTTCCAACCACCTCCCTCCAACACCGATTTGCAGCCTCTGTATAATGGAGCAACATGTACCCAAAATGAGGCAGGCACAGGCTGCTTGCACTCTGTGCTTAAAGAATCTGCTTCTGTATGGAGCCTGTGTCCTTTTATTAAAGGTTACACATCATGCACGATGTCAAAACACAAGTTGTCTTTTGAGCTGGTGGTGGAATATGTCCCAAATGAACCTCAGAAACMTCCCAGTAGGTAACAGAGGGCAAAGAATGTGTTCCTTGTGGTAGGGTAAAAAAGGGAGAGACAGGCAGATGTCCCCAGGTAATAGATAAATGCAGAAAGTAGGGCTCCTACAGAAGAACAAAACCTTTGTAATAGAATTACGACAGAAGGGGAAGAAGACTGATAAACTAAAGAGCCTTAACTCACTCCCCAAGTTCGAAGTGGCAATGTGTTCACTGCTTTAACTTTCCACCAAGATTACAGCTGTGTGACATTGGAGCCTATGAATTTAGATAGCTCATTGGTTGTAGGAGACTAAACACGTATCCGTATCAAGTATGTTTTCAGATCCTTCAAACATGAGGAGAATTCAGGTAGATTATCATGTGCTACTGCCACCCGGAGTCTTTGACACAACTCTGAATTTCTATTACAGCTTTTACACATAACTTTCAGACTTCATTAATTCTGGTGGAATTATGATTCGTCTTTCACTTTTTTTAAGGTTATGTGTGACAAAAAAATTATGCTTTCAATTTGTAAAACCAAATACCTACGTGGGACCTGTCGCCACCAACAGAAGCTCCAAACAATCACAATGATGGGGTTAATTGGCATTTTAAAATAAATCACTGCCTCCAGATTGATTTATTTCCCCCCATCTCTTTACACAACATTGCTGCGTTTCTCTATAATTATTCAATGCTAAGTTCATGGTTTTGAAGCAGACGACTGCAGACTTAGGAAATGGTGTTTGATTTGTTGCCATGGAAACATCTTGCTGTAGATGTACTCTAATCCCATGACAACTCTGTCTCTTAAGAACCATTTTTTCTGACATAATAAAAATCTGATCAAGGTCAGATTTAATAACAATCTCAGTTCCCAGACTTTATTTCGTAAAGGTTTAGCAGAGGGTTGTGGGGTTTTGTTGTGGTTTTTTTTCTTTTTTTTCCAAAGGGAGTCTCTAGAAACTTTATTTGTTTTCTTAGCTGGATTGGAATTTATTCCCTAAAATACATAAACCTGGTGTTGTGTCATGTTAATTTAGAGCGCACCTTTTGTTATTGTATAATTACATCATTAAAGGAAAGTTACTTGTAATTGTTTATATTGTCTTGACAGATGTTAACATTTTACATAACATCGTTCCTGCTAATACATACTTTTGGGATATCAATAATGCTTATCGTTTCCCAACAACTGGTGTTTACATAGTAGCAAATGCCAGTGTAACTTAATTCTCATTTTGTACTGTAATATGTCTGAACTATTTATCACAGCACATTGAAAGCTGGAGGACTGGAAACAAATGGAAATGCTTGACGCGTTCCACCGTAAAATAAAACCAATGTACATACTGAAGAGTCATATTAACATTAAAAAGTACTTGGAAATAAGGAGCTTGCCAAGAATTCACATATGAGTTTAGGGTCGGGCTTTTTCCCCTTTACCAACACATCTCCCTCAGCAGCTTGGGAGCTTAAGAGTAATAGCTCATCCATTGGGAGCTCAAGAGTAATAGCTACAAAGAAAGAGGCGTGGTAAACGTAACTCAGATAATTGACTTAAGGCTCAACTTTCAAAGACAGCTCCTGACAATGCTGACACACACATGCAGATGTCAGAAGGAAAAAAGAAAAACAACAGCAAAAAAAAAAGAAAAAGAAAAAGAAGAAAAAAAAAACCCTTTACCTCAATTTCATTCCAATCTTTGGCCAAATGCAGCCTTAGAAACACCTGGGTCTAATTCTTTCACTTTCAAAGCAGTGGTACAAATTCATGCCAGCCTTGGTCATCAGGTAAAACCCTGACCACGCCAGAGGCACTGATAGAACTTCCATCGACTTTACTTAGATATTCACTTGGATGGTGTTATCTTTGCTGTTCACTTGGGGACAAAAAAAGGAAATTAAGTTAAAACAATATCTAGGGACATCCCCATCTGTGCTATTCGTCTAAGKTCCTTTTAAAGTCCACAGAGAGTAAGGGGCTTGTTTAGCATGTTGTTCATCTAATCTTAGAGAAGGCACAAAAAGATCAGGCATCACATTTATGTAGTCTTAGGCCTGCCAAAGGAGGTGCCCATGGCTTTGGATTATCACAACATAATTACCTTATCCTGCCAACATGAATAACAGTCCTGGAATTCTTTAATATGATGCATCATAATTCATAGCAACATGATCATGGATWCCCACATTTCTTCTTAATCCCACAGCACAGCTTTACATAGTTAGAATCCCTTTCATCTCTATCTTCCTAGCCACCTAACACTGGACCATTTGATCTGCTCTGGAAATCGTTACTGCATCCTTGTCACTGATCTTCACCCACCTGTATTACAGTAGAGTTTTGGATCCTTTCACAGACTACAGCGAACGAAGCAAGAGACTCTGCAGGATAACCCCTACCTCAAAAGGAGCGCAGCAGTCCTTCCCAGGATGGTCTTCGTTGGTCTCTGGCGCAGTCACTGTCAGGTTCAACCACTGAAAGTATCACGACAAAGACAGTTTAGAGAAGCATTGTAGAAACAATGAAGAAACAAAAGGAGTTTGTTCTGCAGATGTTTTCATACTGTCATACAATGTTATTGCTGAAATATATGAAACCAAAGAAACTGTCATTTAAAATATGCATTGGGGCAAATTTTGAACATTATTGACTTGCTCATAAACAAYAGCTTTGCTATTCTGATTTTCAAGTGTGACACAGCAGGTAGACTATAAGCCCTTCTTACAGTCCAGAAAGAACTGAGCTACATCTGTTCTTTGACATTACAGGTGATAAAGCATCACTTTGATGGCCCAGCTGAGATCACAGCACATCCTAGGTACCACATCGACACATACTAAGATACAGTTCTGCCCTGCAGAGCTTTCATTTTAAGTGTCACAGGATAAATTACATTTTTCATATTCTCATATGGAAATTCAGGGACTAAAATTCGGAATTTAACTACAAGATTGTCCATTTTTGCATTTATTAGTATACATAAGGATTTGAACAATCAGTATTAATGTAACTAAACACTAAAAGCTGCAGTAAAGATTATACTGTGGTATGCAAATTATCCAAAGCACAGACCTGTGGCCCACAGGCACAGAGACAGAGAGCACTTACTGCTATTAGGACTGGAGAACTTTAAGACACCAAGCACAAACCATGGGCCCTATGCTGTAAACATGCAGGTATTTACACACACCCCAAAAGGTGGTTTCTGCCCTGGAAAGCAAAGCTCCTATGAGGATTCAGCTGCAAGATCCATGTGTCAGTAAATATAGCAGCGCTGCACTGTCAGTCCACCAGCATTCAATCGCCAGCTGAAGATGCAATATAACAGAAAAGGCCATCCCCAGGACAAGTAAGTCGGGCACTCTGTAGCAAAGGGAGCAGCAAATCCCATTTACTCAGGCTGCCCTGCCCTCTCCCGCAAGAGCCAGCGAGAATGTTTGAGCTCTTCCTCGTGCTTACCTTCAAGCCTAAGGAAAGAGGGTTTTAGTGACTTATCACAGTGTGCAGACCAATACTTTACAAYAGCTAACTGGTACACATGCACAGAACAAAAGGACACTATCAAAACTAAAGAGCTTAGAATTTGCTTCTGCATTAAAGATGATCAATGTCTATTTTTCTTCTTTTGCTGACACCAAGCAGACTCTTTAATGTGCCCTGTTAAACACCAGACCTTGATCACTAACTATCAAGGATAAGTTACAGACAGGGACATCAATTCCAAGTATCAGCTGATTTTCTATTATTTTCTTTTGGAAAGAACGTCAATGCTTGGCTATTTTAACTCAATCATCTTCTACTGAAAAGTAAAAATGACCTCACAAAAATCYTGGCTGAGGGTGGGGGGGCACAAATTGGTAAGAATTTAAGAGCCCCTATTTGGAACATTAAGAAAAGCAAAGTTRCCTTGACAACTGTAGCCATCTTTGGATGGCAATTCTTTTTGCAGAGTACAAAGCTGGTTTAATTCCTCTTCTTCTCTCTCTGCRTACATAATTCCACCCATTCCCAGGTAAGGTTTTGCTATGTGTATACACTGYTATTTTGTCTGGTGTATGCCCAAGGTGCAGCCTGATTCTGTTGACAAAACCTGAAGTTTTATTAGTTGTTATTTGATTTTAAAAAGCATTTTGTATTAAAATTTTCAGATTTAATTGACAGATATTCAATTTCAAAGTCCTACTCCCCTGTTCATAAATTGCTAATAGTATTTTATTTGAAACAGAGCTAACCTAATAAACAGATGAAACTTTGTTGTCATTTCAACTGCTCAGAGCTCTGGGCTGTATATAATTGCTCTCTTCATTTTACAGTTCTTCTGCTTCAGATTAAACTTTTTCAGGATGTCGCAATGCCAAAACATGCATTCTAACAGGAAATCAGCATCAAAGGTAATGGGCTCGCATACATCTTTGATGCTTTGAAACCAGAGGAAGAGAAGTAACTGTTTAATTTACAACAGTTATTGTAGAGGAACAGGGGAGGGGGAGAAACCAAAAAATGTGAATAAGGGCTACARAGACGAATTTAGCACTAATATTACAATGCCTGATGTAAGCCTGCAGCAGAGCAGCGCACTGGCCTTGCGTGTGACCGTGACTCCCTCTAGCGCTGGCCTGGTGGCTCTCCCAGCTGCAGAGCTCCAAGCTGCACTCCCAGCCTGTAAGATGCACAGCAGGGTTTGCTCCCCTGCATGTGCAGACCCCTCTTCTGCAGTGGGGCTGCCCTATAGCCCCTAGGGATGCAGGTAACACTGGGCTCGGCGCTCTTCGACGCCACTCTGCACAACAAAGCTCTGTCTGAGGCACAAACCTGTTAAAATGGGTGTCTAACTCTCCAACTTCCTGAAGGGGAGTTTGGCATTGTCATCAGTAGGAAATTCTTATAAAGCTTCATTTGGTAAACCTGCCAAGACATGAATGGAAAAGGCRTTAGCGATGCTCCTTCTCTGCGTGATGCTCTGAACAATGTTCATATTGAAACGACAGAAAACCTGGCGAGTTATTTTCAGCAATGAAATAAATAGCCCAATAGAATAATCATCTATGATAAAAAGGTGTTAATAATGGGGGGAGTGTTTCCAATAAAGGATTAGAAACTTTCAAGCAAAACAGACATTTTGCACTAATCCTTTTGCTGCAATTTTCTATTGAATAATGGAAAATAAATTCCAAATCCAAAAAGGATTTTATGAAATTTTATAGTTCTAGTTACACTTACAACAGCAGACAGCACACACGTCTCTTTGTCCACCTTTATGGGAATCAAAGTATCCACCTTTTTGTGAAATTACAAAAAAAAGCACCGTAGAGAAGTATAATAAATCAGAGACTCCACCCCTCCTGCAACCATTCTCAAGAAGAGGTCTTCTTATGGACATACAGCCTTTTAGTCAGAAAGGCAGAGCCTGGATTTTGATATGTGGGTGCACACTCGTTTTTTCTCCACCTCCAGTGTCCAGCACATGACTTAGAGAGGGAATTCATACAAGTTCTGATTTCTATTCACCTCAATATGCAGAACTAGCAATTTTTATTTCCTCACTTCAAAGGTTTGAGCCATCTGCCTTGTAGATTAGTCAGGGAAGCTAATGGTAGATAAGGCCAAAATAGATCCTCCCCTCAAAGGCAAGAGCACATTGACCACTTAAAGTAAAATTCACCCTTTAGGGATACTACCGGATCCCTATTTCATGTTATTAAAGAAATGTATGTAGCAAGGGCTTGGAGTAAAGCCAGAAAAGATATATGCATGTGTGTACACATGCATAAACACATGGAGAAAGAAACATAGATGAGATTAAGCAAGTAGAGTTAAAATATAATTTTAAAGGGATTATGAAGAGTTGTAAATTATCCTAGTCACATGGCTCTGACTCAGTAAAATATTTTATTCACAAATTCAAAACTCTTGAACWAGAAACAGGAACCTATGTTTTTTTTTCACAAGAGAAAAAAATGGCAAATGTTCCTATTTTTCTATTTAAAAAAATGACTACTGTTTGTTTTCACCTAAACTATTACTCTTAGTAAACAATACAAAATCATATAGATTTTGATAAGCTTTTTTAGCTGCTCTTTGAGATGCTTAAATAAAGAATGGCTCCTTCTGAACTGGATAAATAACATTTCTTTTATTTAGGAAAAAAATGTTGTGTTTGGTCCGTTTTGTCAAGTGGGCCGGTGTAATTTTTCATATAGCCTAAAACATCACAAAATACTGCAGCTTTGGCTTGAATATGTCAAGTAGCCTACTAGAAGATACTTATTTCTCCCAGTCTTATTTTCCTCTGTTATAAAAAATGGACAATGATTCTCCCACTACATTGAAAAATCACTCTAAAGTCTGTGGATGAAGTAAACCATATGATAATTGCCATCAATCTGAGTTGCATCCAAGCAACTAACAGCAAAACGTGGCTATTCTGCCAGATTAGTATTTGGATAAACATGCATAGCAACAAATAAYCAGACAAGAGAAACCTGTTTTCATAGGAATCACATGTAATTACAAGTATATTCATTATACTTTTCTGATGGATAAAAAAAAATGAAGTTGAGCGGGTACATATCGAATTTCTCTTATAGAACCGCATTTCCTTGGTAAAGTCAACTGGCCCCCATTCCTCCTACTCAGAGGAATCTTTGATAATTCACATGTGAAATTAAAGGCATCTTATTTATTCAGTTATTTATTATTCTCTGTAAAATGAGTTAGGAATTTGTCCCTGTGAATAATGTCAGCCATAATAGTTAATTTACTCCTATTCATTGGCAGTAATAAAAATGTACAAGGGGATGCAGAAACATTATTATTTCTTGCTTGAAGTGCAATTTCATGTGGTGAGAAAAACATGCTAATATGCTGCAAAGTGCTACAGGAATTTAGTTCTCAAAGGAATGGCGGTATTAAATGTATTCTGACAAGAAGGGGCTTTGGAAGGGAAACATTTATCTTCATAAAGTCATTAAATTTACTGAGCAGCACCGCATTCTTACTGCAATCTGCTCACTCCATTAAAAGCAGAGCTGTGGAACGGTCTCTGCTGTATTAGGAGCATCTACATTTTTGAAAATTGTAATAATGGGGGGAAAGAGGCTGGGGGGGAATAATATATCCTTCTTTAAAAGAACCCTCCTGTGCCAAAAAAAAAAAAAAGACAGAACCACTCAAAAAGAACAAGTTTTGCTGCCTATCTCCTCAAAGGAGCATACTAAAGAGCAAATTTGGAAGATAAGACGTTAACAACACTGAAATGAGAACTAATGGCATTGAAGGCATTGGTAACACTACTGGTAACACTACTGATGGGTGACGGATGTTCAAGGCAAAGTTGGGGGGAAGAGCAGCTTTGCACATTTGTGTTTGTCCTGTAATATGGCAATAAAATGGGATTAGAATTAGTCAGCTCTTAAGCCTGGAGATAGCCTTTTCAGYGCATTTTCTATTGCAGTTAGTTACTTTAGCTCTCTTGTTCCTTGGTAGCTAAATATGTTTTGAGTGAAAAGATAAATACTTTGAGCACATCGCAGTGCTCCAGTGACGTTTTCAGTAGGGTCCGTACTAGTCCGGACAACCCAGTCAAAGGCCTGGGTCAATGTCACACCACAGTGATGTGCAGCACAAATGAAGAGAAAACTCTTCAGGCAGAAATGGGGAAATTCATAGAGCCAGGAAACATTAGAAAGGGTTTGTTATTTTCAGGGATGTGAATTTCACAAAGTATCAAAGCTCTCCAGCAATTTGCTTCAGAAAAAAAAAAGGAAAAAAAATAGGAAAATTATAACATTAGCAACATAAAAAGCCGCCAGCTCTCCTAACTGCAAAAGGATATGGCACAAAGAACCAGTCCAGAGAAGAAAAACTGCCTGAGATCAGAACCCGAGCCTTATGCATGGCTTCATTCAGTTTAAGCAAATGAAGAACACACTCTCTCCAYATTCCTAATCTCTAAAATAGGAGACAACATACATCCTTAACTGATTTTGGTCTTACCACATTCATAGAAAGTCCAAAAGCTCAGAGGTGCTCGGTCTGATAATTACCAAAAAAAAATGACCTTCTCATTAGGCTCAGGAACACAAAACAGGAACAACATGGTTCTCATTGCCAGAACTGACCACCACTCTTTTCAGAGAGGCTGAATACAACAGGTTTCAAGGGCCTGTCAAGTGGTATATAGGATGAGCTTCTCTTCAGGCATTTCCTCTCTCAGGAGAGGGTCCCCGCCACGGTCCAGAAAACTGGCTATTCACTCATTGCTGGACCTAGCAGACCTGAAATTTGACTTTCCAATGGCTTGGGACTACAAGCGCATCAGAAACACAGGCCAGTGTTCTCCCACGCTTGATCAAAGCCTTGGTTAAGATCTGGACGTTCTATACTTGGTCCCAACTCTGGATGTACCAGATAAATAGCTTCTTCAAATGCATGCAAAATAACTGTACAACTATACCAATTTCTAATATACTTGTAAGTCAGTTGCAATCTTGCTGTAACAGAGAAAGAAAAAAAAAAAAAAAGATCTACATCAGGAAACCACAGACTTCCCTAATGGGTTACAGTGCATAATTGAGTATAAAGAATAGTTATTGCTTGAACTACAGTTGAACTGAGATTTCCAGCTTCCCAAGCAAATGTTCTGCTACTGCTGCTAAGCTATAGCAATAATTTCTAATTGTGTGGGTTTTAAGTGAAAACACTAAGAAATGTTGTTCGATTGGTTACAGTAAACTACTCCTTCCAACGCTACCAGGTCAGCGSAACAAATCCTGGAAATCAGAAGTCTTTCACCTAAGCAACAATAGCAGAAGCTGGAAACTAATGAGGCAACGCTGCAGTAGCATCATGCCCATTACACAATTAGAAGGACAGCACCGGACACCATGAGATTGTCACACACCTTGCTAATGAACCATGTTTTACACGCATTTAATTAATTAATTATGGCTGAAGTCACTCACTGCTAGCCAGCCACTGCTTTATTATACATAAACCTGACCACCTTACAAATACCACACTGGAGTGCTAATGAGATATTAAGTGAGATTGCATGTTACCAGCAATTTTGTGGGAAATCAAATAATAAGAGATCAAATATCAACTAAAAGAGCTTTTAATCCGAGTGAGATAATTAATTGCACCTCCTGTCTCACAGCTTTTCTCGTACTTTATGAGAGGGGGAAAAAAAGAGCTTTCTCATCAAGATAATTTGATCCTATTGATGAAAACTTCTGTAATTATGAGTGCCACTTAGCAAGTATGACAGGAGATATTATTTACACAGTGGTTTCTCCTCAGGATTCTGGTGTACTCCACAGACCTCATTCAAATATCTAGGGAAGGACAGTCACAAAGCCCAAAGACTTCATCAACTGAAGAGATAGGGCATGAGGGAAGAAAGGAAGGGGAAGGTTACAGCTACTGTGTAGCAGCCAAATCTCTGCAGCCTTCCTAGATGTACCTCATTTCTCAGCTAGCCATATGCTTCTCAGACCTGGGCAGCAAATAAGCAGGGTGTGTAGCACACCCAGCCCACCTTGTCAAAGGCCCCAAAAAACTGCAGTGCTTGCAGTTAAGGACACTCAAGGAAGGGCAAGGCAGGAAAGTCAGGGTTACTTCCCCAGAACAGCAACCGCTCGCCTGCACGCATGCCCTCCCTCCTGCGCCTGCAGGTTTAGCCCCAGGACCTCTTCAAGCTCAGCATACAAATGTATTAATCAATGCATTTCCCCATGCACCAGGTGTGTTCAAAATGAAGCCACCAGCAACACTATCCAGCCTAATTTCAGGTGCTCCCGTTTAAGCAGGAATGTAATCTTCCCTTCATAAGACAGTCCAGGAGATGACCAGAACATCAAGAGGATCTGGTGTTCGAATGCCTCCTCAGTCACTGACTTGTTTCA